TTTATATTGATTATTTCGATTAAAGAATGCTCGCCTTGTATTCGATGTACAACAATTCACTGACGAGCGAACTATTTTGCGCTTAAAACTTGATTCTTATGAGGATTTTTACACTCCACTGCCCCCATTATTTTGCTGATTGTTTGTATACTTTTGTCCAAAATCTCGAATAATTTTTGCAGACAATGTTTATCTTTTACTTGCTGAAAAATGCAAATAGAACTTCGTTCTTTTGTTTAAAAAATTAGCTTCGTCCAGACGTAAACAAGTAGGAACTTGGGGCTTTCACTCTGTTTAAAAGCGACTTGATTCTTAAGATGACAGGAGTTTAATAAAAATCCCCAAAAAATCTTTAGAGTCAAGACACTTGACTTATATACTGCGGTTAGCCAGTTAAGTGAATATCGCTCTCAAAATAAAACTTTTTCAACTGCATTCTCACCTTTGAAACATCGCCTCAGCCACAACAAAGGAAGTAGCAACTTGAAGTTTTTACCCTCTTTGCGAGACGCTTGGTTCTTAAAATCACGAAGAAAATTTTGCAAAAATCACCCTGAATGATCTTTTCGGTTCCGTAAAACAACGCTCGAAATGAAACATCGTACCCAACTGCATTTTCACTTTGAAAAATTTGCCCCGTCCAAACCGTCCCATTTCGCGTCGTCCAAACCAAAGCAAGTAGCAACTTGAAATTTTCGCGTTCTTTACAAGACACTCGGTTCTAAATATGGCTAAAGCTTCACAACAATAGTCCTAAATCGTGAACTTTTTCAGTTCAGTAAATATTGATTTCAAAATGAAACTTTTTGCCCAACTGCATTCTCACCTTTCAAACTTTGCCGCGTCCACCCCAAAACAAGTAGCAACTTGAAGTATTTGCCCTCTTTACAAGACGCTTGGTTCTAAAGATCACGAAGAAAGTTTTGCAAAAATCGTCCTGAATACTGATCTTTTCGGTTCGGTAAAACACCGCTCGAAATGAAACATCGTACCCAATTGCATTTTCACCTTGAAAAAATTTCCGCGTCCACACAAAACCTACTAACAACTTGAAGTTTTCACGTTAATTAGAGGACAGTTGATTCTAAAGACGCCAAGAGTTTCACAAAAACTGCCTTAAATCCGCAGGTCTGGCAGTTAAGTCAATAGCGCTCTCAAAACAAAACGATTCTCCAACTGCGCGCTCTCCTTTAAAAATTCGCGTCGTCCAAACCAATGCAAGTAGCAACTTGAAAGTTTCACGTGCTTTACAAGACACTCAGTTCTCAATATACCAAAAGCTTCACAACAATAGCC